TCTGTTGTTGTTGAGATCCAGTTTCAACCTATGGTGGTGAAATACGATGCAGTATTAATTTGATTTTCTTGTATCTGTTGAGACATAGTTTGTATACTAATATGTGGTTAATTTTGGAAAAAGTTCCTTGAGCTCCTGAGAACAAAGAATATTCATTAGTCTTTCGGTAGAATGTTCTGTAAATGTTTGTTAGGTCCAGTTGATTTGTGACATTATGTAATGTCAGTGTTTCTGTTTGGTTTCTGTTTGGATGACCTGTCTATCCATGAAAGTGGAGTACTGAAGTCAACAATTACCACTGTGTAGGATTCAATATGTGATTTTAGCTGTAGTGGTGTTTCTTTTATAAACTTGGGTATCCTTATGTTTGGTGCATAAATGTTTATAATTGCATTATCCTCTTGATGGATGTTTCCCTGGATGAGTATGTAGTGTCCTTCCTTATCTCATCTGATTAGTTTTGGTTTGAGGTCTGGCTTATCAGATATTAAAATGGCTACAACTGCTTGCTTCTGTTAGTCTGTGTCCTTTTATTGGGAATTGTGACTATTAACTGAGAGTTATCAATGAACAGTGTTAATTAATTCCTCTTATTTTGCTGTAATGGTGTGGGTCCCCTTTCCTTTTACTTTACTGGTAGGCAATTACTTATTCTTTTTGTGTTCTTGGATGTGGCTAACCTCCTCAGGCTGAGGTTTTCCTCCCCACTCCTTCTGTAGAGCTGGATTTATAGATTGATAATGCTTAAACTTGACTGTATCATGTAATGTTTTCTTTTTCCATCTATTATGGTTGAAGATTTTGCTGGGTGTAACAACCTAGGCTGGCATCTGTGGCTTGTAGAACATCTGTCTTGACCATCCTGGCTACTAGAGTCTCCACTGATAAGTTAGGTGTAATTCTAATGGGTCTACTTTTATATTACTTGGTCTTTTTCTTTTCCAACCTTTAATATTCTTTGATCTGTATGTTTGGTGATTTGATTATTATGTGTAATGGGGAATTTCCTTTTGTAGCTCTACATATTTGGTGTTCTGTAAGCTTCTTATACCTTGATTGGCCCCTCTTTCTTTCAATTGAGGATATTTTCTTTTATGATTTTGTTGAAAAAGGTTTCCAAACTTTTGACCTGTGTTTTTTTCTCCTTCCTCCATTTCTATTACTTTTATATTTGGTCTTTTCATAGTGTCTCAGATTTCCTAGATATGTTGTATCAGGAGTATTTTTATATTTAATATTTTCTTGGACCAATGTATTCATTTCTTCTATCATGTCTTCAGTGCCTGAGATTCTGTCTTCCATCTCTTGTTCAGTGGATTTCTTTATCTCAGTCCTGAGTACTCTGTGAAAAGGTAGGAAGCTGCTGAACAGTGACACTGATTTATAACAACCAGTTTTGGCATGTTCTGCTGATAGTTCCATGACCCAGATTTACTGGAGATCCAATATCAGAATGGCAATGGCCATCCAATGAACAAAAAAGCCTTCAGCAGGTGAGGAGAAGCAGAGATCTGTGTCCTCAGAATGGGGAATACCTGGAGCTCTATTTTTCTAGCAGAAACCCCAACAGGAATTAATAAGGAAATTACTTATAACCTGTTTTTAGATCTCGTCTCTTTACCTAAAATTGTCTTTTCCATTTGAAATTAAAGAAGTAAAACTATGATTGTTTTAAATGTAGTTTGGCTGGTTTTCTTTTTTTTTTTTTTTTTTTTTTTTTTTTTTTTTTGGTTTTTCGAGACAGGGTTTCTCTGTGTAGCTTTGCGCCTTTCCTGGAACTCACTTGGTAGCCCAGGCTGGCCTCGAACTCACAGAGATCCGCCTGGCTCTGCCTCCCGAGTGCTGGGATTAAAGGCGTGCGCCACCACCGCCCGGCTGGCTGGTTTTCTTAAATTATCTTTTAAGAGGATTCCATTTGGCCATGTAAATTTTTTTTTATAATATCTAATTAGATGTAGTAGTCTACTCTCTCCCCCTTCCTCCACACTCTGTGGAAAACTATGAAAAGTAGATGGAGGAAGAGAGCCCAGAATAGATGAGACCCAGAATGAAAGAGTGGTAGGAACCTCCACACTTTCTACCGACAGAAGGAAACACCACAGGCTGGGTGCTTCCTGGCCCAGCTGAGCCAGAAAAGACAGCCCAAATTGGTTCCCTCCACCCTCGGGTTGCCCATGAGTCTACCTACACAAGCAGGTAAGCTGGAAGAGACAGCAGGGAGATCAGCTGAAATCCCTACTGACTATGAGTGCTCTTCTTCCTCACCTAGCTCAGAAGTCCCTTCTCCAGCTTAGAGACTGGCCATGAAAACACCCACTGGGGACCTGTCCTAAGACTTCCTGGTGTGTGAAATACTTCCCATCCCATTTACACATCAGGAACACCTGAAAGCACGTTAGCACATCTGAGTGCACATGGAGTACAGCTTTGAACAAGGCCAGAGTGGTGCTCCCATTTCTCAGGGAAGACAGAGCATTTAGGACCTGGTGTAGGCAGATGTACCAAGTTAGCAATGAGATGTTTTTCTCTGAGGGTTTCCTCATTGTTCTTGGAGAAATAAGATTGGAGGAAGAGGAGGATGACACTAGAGATGAAAGAACTAAGAGGTACAGATGGCACTGAAGCAGAGGAACATGAGCTTCGGAGGTAAGCTGAGTCCCCTTCAGCTGACACTTCCTCCCTAGCCATCTGCTGACTACAACTGGACTTGTTGCTTAACAACACATACACATTTGCTGAAGACTTGTCCCTGGGCCCTCTCGTTTTCTCCAGGTCTCCTGTATAACACCAATACACCCTGAATTAAGTCTGCTTTACACATAAATTATTATTATGAATAATACACGGCATGACCCTACCATTCTGCTTAGGGGGGACAGGTATTGAAATCAAATGATGCAAGGACATAGAGGAGGAAATATAGGCTTTGAATGGCCTAAATGCATACATGACTCCATGCAAGCAGAATTAAAGATTTAGTGTGCTGATCTGAGCATTCAGAAGAAGAATCTAACATAAAGAGTGGGGATTGTTGGTTAATTCTTGACACATGAAGAAAGGTTTAAAAACTCTGATTGTGTGCAAACCCCTCACAGAGAACCCAGACCTTTGCTTTTCCAGATGTTAATACAGGCACTGTCTAGAAAGGATATCATCATCCACTCAAATCCTGAGCTTAGATGTGCTTTGGGAGGTACTGATGCAGTAGTAAGGGGTGCAGTAATGGGCTCAAGTTCTCTGTTCTCTGTGAGCATAGTGGGACTCCAAGGTGGTTGAGGGCAGGCAAGTCTTGGTCCTGGTGAGAACTATCCAGTCTCACCATGCAGCTTCCTGTGACTTCAGGTGCTGTCGACGACGACCCTTTTCCTCCCTTACAGGCCCCAGTGTCTCCTCTGACTAGCTTGTAAAGTGAGTAGTGTCGTGTCAGGAGCGATGCAAAAGGAAATATCACATGTGATACAGGAAGCTCAACAGCAGGGAGGGGACAGCCTTGCTCTTTTCTAACAGCCCGCTTTTGAAGGAACTAAAAGGCATCCCACGAGGTCTCTGTGAAGCCCTTCTGAAAGCATTTCCCCCATCACCAGGCTCTGGTTCTTAAAGGTTCTGCTGCAATCTGCTACATCTGCTACAATCACCACACTGGGGGTCAAGCTTCTAACACGTGAATTCTGAGAGAGAGAAAAACTCACATCCTAAGCAAACCACAGCAGAAGATAACCTGAACTAAATGGCTGGAAGAACAAGAGACATCGGAGAGATGTTTGAGATGAAGAAATAGTGCAGCTCCCAATGGACGAGTTAGGGTTGGATGTCAGAAGTGAAGTTGACGGAAGGTTGTGGGAGGCAGAGAAATGAAAAGTTGAATGTTGGGGAAGTCTGAAGCAGTCTGAGGATAGGATGGAGAAGAACATGAAGGAAAAATTGTTGATGAGAGTATGGTTTGAGCGTCAATGGAGAAGGGGTAGTGATCAGGAGTGATGCAGGCAGCGGGAGTGAGCAGGGAGGAGGCAGTGGTGCAGGCAGCAGAAGTGAACAGGAAGCAGCAGGGAGAGCAAGGCCACCTAGGCCACCTCCTGGCATGCAGATTCATGAGGTGGACAAAGACAGTGCCTTCAGTGAAAGGGCAGGAGAGCTTCATGGGAAACAGAGATGGACCCACCAGGAGGACCTGAGATCAGGTGTAAACAGGCAAACATATGGAATGCTGAGAGCAGATTTTAAAATAAAAATAAGGTGCATGCTACCTGCCACTGCTTCCAAGACATTCAGAGACAATGCCTGACTCCAGAGGAATCACATGCAAAGAAGAAAGAAGTTTCCACAAACAGTGGCAGTGTTTCAGGAAGGAGGTAGATTACCACTTCCTGAATACATACTCTGATTTCTAGGAAAGCCACATCCACTCCAAGAGTGTCAGCCACAGAAAACAGAGCTAGAAAGGTCTCCTGCATCACATTTCTTAGTGCTCTAATCTCGTTAAGCCTTTTTAAATTAGATGCTCTGCTGTGTAGAGTCCTTGGTGGACACCTTCATGTCTCATGGTTAGGCAGAGACAACTGAGAACTGAGCGGGTGTCTCTGGGGCCCAGCCAAGGCACTAAAAAAACAAAGCAGGCCGACGTCATCCAAGGCACAGGCTCCCCCTGCCTCCTTCCTGTCATTATTTCTGTCTGACATGGGGTGGTGCACAAAAGAACCACACCTAAAAAATGTTGATGAGCAGAGAACAGAGGCGAGCATACTGATCGAGGTTCAGTGTAACTGATGGAAATAGCATGTGTCGTTTTCAAAATGGAAAGTGATTATTCTAGGCTGTTAATATAAAAATGCTATTTCAAAGGCACGTCTAGTCTTCTGCAAACCAAATCTCTAGACGTTTAAACACTAATTTGAAAGCTCCAGAGAAGAAATAAAAATGGATAAAATGCAGTTTGATGTCATCTAAACTACTAAGGCAAATAAATTACAAAAGCTTCTGTCAAGGGATTCTTTATTTTTTAAATACACAAAACGCTTTCTTAACAGCGGCATGTTTCTTCCCAGAAAGAGACATACTCAAGGGGTATACAAACTAAATGGTGACTATTTTAAAATGGGGGGATTACAGTAAGACAAACTGTTTACTCTTAGGAGAACCGACAAAAGGCACAGCTTCTCGGGTGGGTTTGTGCCATCTCTTATATAGAACCGCAAGAAGTGTTTTTGAAATACGCATATTTTCTGTAGGGAATCTCGGTAAGTTAACTTGTATTTCCCATGTTTTGTCTGCAGGGAGAAGACACTGTGGTTTCTCATCGTCCACCTGAACAATACTGTGATGGAAAAAGCTCTGTTTTATGGTGAGAACATGGTGAGCTCCTTTCTTCTCCAGAGGTGCTGTGGAGAAGTCTTCTGGCTGATCCCGGTGATGATCAGGTTTCCCTTGATCTTCAAATGGTGGCTAGCTATTAATTCCATCCCACCACAACATGAGCGATCAGGAGATAGCACATCCCTATGGTGCAGGACACAAGCATCATCGGGAAGCCCAACCTGAAAAACAGAGACAGTTATGGCCTCTGGTTCCTGGAGAGAACTAAAAGGTATCGACTCTTTAAATGTTATTGCAGAAGAATATGGCCCCAGAACCTGTATGTGAGGAAAAATTGATCTTTCGTTCAGGCTGTAAAGATTTTTGCCATAACTCATGTGGCTACTTCCTGGAAACCTGACTCCAGTAGTGAAAGAATGAACAAAGGACAGATATACAGACACACATATATAAAAGCTGTGAATGTATGAGCCACAGACTCTGTTCCACCAGCAGTGGTCCAGAAACTCAGGGTGTTGATTTTATATATATGAATATAGGAGGTAGGTTTAACGTATGCAGCTGAATGTGGCTACAGGTTTATTGCATATAAGGGAACAAGAAGTGGGTCCAGCTAATCTTGGTAGAAGTCTCTGAATTGATGGAGCTGTAATATCTTTACCCTATCTCTGAAGTTCCTTCAAATCCTCCAAGTTTTAATGTATACTGTATATCTCTAGAGTCTGTGGCCCATGTTTTACACCCATTGCATTGATTTGCACTTGCACACTCCTCTCTTTACCCTTCTCCTCATGCTTTTCATGGGAATGTTCCCTCATCTGACTAATGGGAGTTCCTGGTGGTCAAGTGAGTTCCTGTTTGGGTGCCGCTTGCTATGATCTGCACAGTTAAGGGATTGGTCCAACTGAGGCAATGGGGAATGAAGAAAGGATTGACACACTTACAGATAGGGTGGGCCGTGTGCTCTGATGGAGACACACCAGCAGTTCTCTGGAAACTCAGTGTGTTTATCTTGTACGTCTAAATCAATGAGGCAAGTTTTTGTATACAGCTGAATGAGGATGCAGGATTACAGTGTACAGCCCACCAAGGAGATGGGTTAACCTAATTTCAGGAGGAGGTCTTTCTAGGGGAACAGTCTCAGGCTGTAAACATCCCAGAGGAGGAAGCTGTAATCTACATTTTCTGCATACACTGTCAACACCTACATATGATTAGGGGAAGGTGTTACCATTTCCTTGGGCCTGATCCAGAGAAGACTTTGTCATGTCCATGAGTCTGGGGCACTGGGCTGTGTTCATTTCAATAATCCACATACACTCAAGACGTCTTCTACTCCCCACATATTTTCCACAGTGCCAGTATTTGAATCTTTGGTATAGCACTTGTCTAGCATGTGGGAGGATCTGGGTTCAATTATTATCACTCTTTTCTCTCCAAAAATAATCCCTGATGTTTCCTTCAGCTGTGTCAAGTTGCAACTGTCATTCTGTAGACTTCCAAAGAAAGACATATTTCTATCAACTCATAAAGTCCCTCTCACTTAACGCAAGGGGAGGCTGAAAGGTAGAATTGGGAGCTAAGGCCATCTCTTGTCTAAAGAAGGTAACAGACAACACAGCTTTCATCTGCATTCAATGAGGTATATGTGGGATGTGTGGGTAGGTATGCAACTAATTATGAAGGCTATTATGAGGACTTCATGAGTTCACATCTATAAACCCTTTAGAACAGGGCATGATCACACAGGGAGCCTTCAACTAATGATAGCCACTGCTCCTGCTGCTCCATGAAGACATGTGACCCATACCCACCCGTGTGACAGGCACAAAGCCAGAGAAAGCCTGCATGGTGTTTTCATCTTAGCTCAGTTGCTGTGCTAAACACCACCACCAAAGACAACTTGGGGAGGAGAGAAGTTATTTCATCTTACAGGTTATAGGTCACCAACCAGGGAAGCCAAAGCAGGAGTTCAGGGCAGGAGATTTAAACAGAAACCCAAATGGAGGACCTCTGTTTACTTGCTTCTTCCTGTAACTTTCTCAGCTACCTTCTTTATAGAGCTCAGGCTGCTTGCCCAAGGATGTTCCTCCTACAGAGGTCTGAGTCCTCCTGTATCAATTAGGAATCAAGAAAATGCCCCATAGATATGTTCACAAGACAGTCTGACAACGGTAATTCCTTAATTGAGGTTCCTTTCCCCCAGGTGTCTCCAGTCTGTGTCAGATTGACTAGTGGAATCCACATCTTGTCAGCTTGACACACAAACACATCACTGTTCAACCATAACCCTTCCTTTCTTGTTTGCCTCTAAGATCTCAGGCTAACATTAACATCACAATATAAAATACGGTCCAGCTCTTAAAAGTTCCAGAATCTATAAAACTGTCAATATTTTAAAGTTCAAGATCTCTTTAAAAATCCAAGTGTCTTAACTGTGGATTCCTGTAAAAATGAAAAAGAAGTTACAGGCATTCTTACTCCAAAAGGGAGGAACCTGGGTATAAAAATAACTATATTGAAATAAAACCCAAACTCAGTAGTGTTAATCCAAACTCTGCAGCTCAGTGTCTGACATCTGGAACCCACTCATGATCTTCAGGGCTCCAAAGGGCTTGAGCAGCTCCTCTCCAGCTCTGCCATCCGTAGCCACACACAATTTGCCTCACAGGTTCAGGGACCAGCCTGTACTCCACAGAAGCCTTGGTAGTTACTCCACGTCCTGGCATCTCCAGTATCCCAGGGACTCCACTGTAAGTGATCTGTACCTTCACCAATGGTCTCCGCTATCCTCATCTTAGGAACTTCACCATGCTATATGGTGCCAAGCCTCAGCTTTCCTCCATGACCCCTTCATGGCTTCAAAACCAGTAGAGGTTGGCAGCTCTTATATATTATTTGCTAAGCTCTGTTGCCAGCTTGAACTGTTGCCTTAGTCCTTTTGGACCACAGTTGACCCAGAGGCAACGCTGCCTAGAAGATTTTACCTCAGTGACACCAATCCCTTATGAACCACAGCTGATTTCTTAGGTCCAGCTGACCTCATCCTTTGTTCCAGTAAAGAAGAACATTTCACTTCCAAATTCAATTTTTAATTATTTATTTACTTTGATTTTTTTTATGTGTATGGGTGTTTTGCCTGCATGTATGTCTGTCTGTGCAGCACATACATGTGGTGTCCATAGAGGCCAGACAAGAGTATAGAAGCTCCTGGAATTAGTTACAGAGAAGGTTGTTAGCTGTCATGTGGGTCCTGTGAACCAAAGAGCAACAAGTGCTCCTAACCACTGAGCCATCTCTCCAGCTCCTTCCACAGGTTCTTAATACATGCCACACCAACAGCCCTGATAGAGACCAATTCTCTGCAAAATTTCACCAACCAGGCCTCCATTGTCTGCATTGCGCTCCAGGTTCTTATCGTCTAAGCTCCTACAGAACAGCCCACAGAGCTCTGAGTGCTCAGTGGATTTTGCGGCCCAATGTTCTAATGTTTTCCCAATCTTCCCCAAACAGCAGTCTGGTCTGTCAGCACAATGCCCCTCTCAATTTCTGTTCCTGTTCTCTTTCTGTACTTCTCTATGCTGTGAAACTCACCATGTCCTAAGTAACTTGAGGGGGAAAGGGTTTATTTGATCACACACGTTATAATCCATCATGGAGAGATATCAGGAACTCCAGGCAAGCGGCTGAAGCAGAAACCACGGAGCAAAGTTGCTTGTTGGTGTGTTTGCCCTTGGCTTGCTCAACTGTCTTTTAAAACACAGCTTAGGACTATTGGTTTAGGAAAAGTACACCCACATTGAGCCAGGTCCTCTTACGACAATTATCAATTAAGAAAATGCCCCCCCCCCATCCCCCAGACATGCCCACAGGCCAATCCAATGGAGACAATTCTTCAATTAAAGTTCTCCTTTGCCAGGTATCTCTAGTTTATGTCAAGTTGATAATAAAAACTAACCAGTATAGACAGGAATGTGAAATGTTTTTGACAAGGGAAAACTTAAGTACACAACACACAGGGGTCTGATGGAAAATAGAATGTAATTATGTTATTCTGAAGCAAGATGAAGAAGATATATTTCTTCCAATTCCCTCCTCCATTCCAAGCACAGCCAAAACTCTTGGGAATTATATAAAACAAAGGAGGCTCCGAAAAGAAGTAGAACAGCAGGGCAGCTGAGAATCCTGAAAAAAAACAAAAAACAAAAAACAAAAAAAAATGCCAGGTGGTGGTGGTGCACGCCTTTAATCCCAGCACTTGGGAGGCAGAGCCAGGTGGATCTCTGTGAGTTCGAGGCCAGCCTGGTCTACAAAGCAAGATCTAGGACAGGCACCAAAACTACACAGGGAAACCCTCTCTAAAAACAAACAACAACAACAAAAAAATCCATGACATGACAGTGAGTTGCCTTCCCCCATCTTCCATGTATCCCTCTGGGAAGCTGGCACATGAGAAACTCAATAGACAGTAGATTCCCAAATGAAAGGGGCCCCAAGGAAAGCCTGCTCTAGCCAAAGGAACAGGAAAGGGGAAGCAGAGGTAGGCAGTGGTAACTGCTGAGATACAGGCAAATACTCTGGGGAAGTTTTATTAACACAATCTTCATTCTGCCTCTTTGGCAGAGGCCACAGAGAGAGCCAGGTCTTCCACCTCTCTGGGCTATACCGAATCCTCTTCCTGTGGAGTCCGTGGAGAGGCATCACAGGGAGCCTGGACTTTTACCCCTGCTTAGATGCAAAGAGGCCTGCGGCTTCGCAGCTGGCTTGAGAGGGGAACTACAAGACTGCAAGACTGCAAGGTCTCCTCTTCAACAAGTACTCAGCAAGCAGTTGCAAACACACTTGAAGCAAATGGGGAGAAGCAGCTTCCAAGGAGCAGCAGCACAATAAAGGGGAGCCTGGTGAGTCCGGAACTTAAAACAGAAATACTTGAAGTCAGAACCGACCAATAGGCACAGTAATATGAGAGAAAGTATGGGGGAAAGATCCACAAACAAGAAGACATCTAGACAAGAGAATAGCAAGTCACTCACCAGAGAAAAAGCCGACTGAAAAACTGAAGTATAAATCCTTGGGGCCCCACATGACAAAGCTCTAACTTGTGTCAAGGGAAGAGACAAAAAAAGTATTCAAAGAAATAACAGCTGAAATATGCGCGTGCACACACACACACACACACACACACACACACACACCCCGAAAAAAAAATGGCACTCTAAAG